CATATAATGCTATTTTGTCTTTTTATTTTCTAGTTACATAGGGTTTAAGTAAAAATCTTATCTATATATATTTTGAATGTCTAATTTTCAATTTTTACAGGATGTCATTACTTTTTCATTTAATTATATTTAAATATTAACTTAAAACTATTTCTCTTTTTAAATTGATTGAACAAAATTTTGATTTCATATTATTTTCTTTTATATTATTAGAGCATCTCCAACGGTGTATCTTTTTTTTTCAATAATTTGAGTAAAAACTCCATTTGATATCAAGTGCCCCAATGAAAGATTTTGAACTTTCATCAAAACATTGGTCGACCGGGCAGATGTCCAGCCGGTCGACTGGCCAGTGTATTTTTTTCACACATTTTTGCAAAGAGGTGGCCATCCTGGGAGACATTCGGTGGTGAAAATCCAACGGCTATAAACAATTTTTTGATAAAAGCTCCCAGTTGTCCTCAATTTGGTGAAAGATTTTTTATATCCTCGATTTGATACCCATATGGTGAAACCATTGGAGCAGGAAAAAAAGTTATTTTTTCATCAACTTTAAATTTGATGAAAGAATTGATAAACCGTTAGAGATGTTCTTATGTTAACATTTGTATTTTGAACTTATACTTATAAGACTATTATTTTTAATATTAAACATACTTCGTCTATTTTCTTAATAAATTTAAAGTTCTTCATTAGTATAATTAGTAAATCAAAGAAAATTAAACAAATACAACAATAGGAAAAATTTTCATATTGACTTAAAACTAATATAAAAATTAGTATATATATATTGGATCATGTTTTAGAACTAAACAAAAATATTAAAAATCATTTTAAACCTCACTAATTGTGATTCTGAAATAAAAACATGCATATCAGTATATTTTCTTAAAGTTCGGTTGCCGTCACCATTACGTTACGACCGTTACACCCCGCAACCGAATCAATGTTACCATTACCATTTTCGTTACGGTAACTGCCATCGTTATTTAAAATCTTGCTAACAAATCTTCTTTAAGCATTATATAAATTGGACATGCCTTCTCTTTAGTTCGAGATCGGACTGGAACGTGTGTTGGGTTCGTGGGGGCCCACCAAAGATCATGTTTTGATGATCCGAACCGTTCAATAGGTAAAACTTGTTGAGTACTTTATCCTTGTAAAAATTCATATTGATCAGATATCGATACCTGCTTGATCGGATCAGATTTTTATCAATGGTAAATATAATTTTCAAAATAAATTATTGACAAAAATCTGATTCGATCAAGTAACTATCGATATTCGATTAATATTATTTTTTACAGGGATAAATTACTCAACGAGATTTACATATTAAACAGTTTGGATAATCGAAATAGGACCCGTAATGAATCCCAAAAGCCTAACAATATCGTCTAATCTACAAAATGAAGTGAAAACGAGCCTGACCCATATAAAATTATAAGATCCATTGGACCTGATTGTTGAACGCATATCTCACACTTGTACTCTTGTCATATCCGTGTTGGACATGGGTACGTTCGGGAAAGTAGAAGAGTAAATGTAACACAAGATAACAATTTAGCAAACACATCCATACTCTTGTCATATTCGTGTTGGACATGGGTACGTTTGGGAAAGTAGAAGAGTAAATGTAACGCAAGATAACAATTTAGTAAACAGAACTGTTTATGAGTATCCCCTTTCATGCATTGAGACTGAACATCTTCTAGATTGAATTTTATGGTGACTTTGATAGGAGCTTCGACAAGAGCTTGGACTTGGGAATAGATCTCTCTGCTGCTTTGCTTGGGCATCGTTCTCACCATGATTGTTGCTAACATCTCAAACCAAAGTACTTTACCTCTGTCTTTTTATATTTTTTGTTGTTAGAAATTATTTGTCAGATAGGCATTCAAAGTATGAGATTCTAACTAAACAAAAAAAAAATTTCTCTCCATAGATGGTCAGAATATGTGGTTGATGAGAAGGTTAAGGTTCTTAATGTGGAGAAAGCCTCCTCTGAGTTTGAGGTTTGTAGTTACACTTTATCCCCTACTAAAGTAGTGATTACATGGTGTGTGAGTCGATTTCTAACCACACTGCCAAACTAGTACTCAGCTGGTGAACATTGGCAGAATAGATCGCGCTCGAATAACCTATAACAGAAAGAAGAGGTTCCGGCGGTGGTTCGTCCACCCGGGGGCACTCCGACGATCAAGTCAGTTATCTCTCAAAGATAGCAAAAGTGCTTAACTCACTATTCAGAATATAAAAAGCGTACCTTAGACCTATGAGGGTGCCTCCCTTTTATAGCCAACACAAACCTAGTCCCAATAGAAGCCTAGCTTCAATGGACTCTGGATTACTGCTAATCTTGGACTCCCAGCGGGATTGGAATAAACTCTCTAAGAGTCTTATTTTTATCCAAACTAAAGTCCTCTCCCAATCTAGGACTCTTTTCCCTATCCGCTTATCTCGGATTCTAGTATTCTCATAGATAACCTCGGCCTAGCCAAGATTACCTTGGCGTCATGACCAGGACACGTGGCACCTCGGCTGACACTTCAGTGACACCTCGGCCACGTGTTGTCATTCAAAAATTATGTCCCCACAACTGCCCCCTAGGTTTTATTACCTCGGCATCCTGAGGTGATGGAACCTATATCATTTCTTTAATTTAGCACATCGGGTAAGCTCGCCTTACCCTTCATTCCCGGGGTCATCACCCGTTGCCCTTATGTGACCAAGACCTATGATCTGTTTTCATCAATGCCTTAGGACAAATAACCAAGTTTGTTCAAATTATTTAGCCGAGATCATCCTCATAGCCGAGGTCTTTGCTTCATTAAACCAATCACTTCAAGAGATTCGTCATGCGTATGAGCTGTCACTCACAGCAACCCAACCGTTTTAGCCACGCGCCTTTCCCTCACTAGATCGTACTTGATACATGCTTTTAAGTCGTCTTGTGTCTATGTGCACCGTCTGACAAGCATGTCGCCCTAGGCGCATTGATGGTATTTTACCGCCATTCTCGGCATTTGATCAAAACCACTTCTCTCTCTCTCTGTCTTTTCACTTTTGCACCCTCAACTTCGTGCTACCTTTCTCTCTTCACCCTCCCAAATCCACCATTGTTTCAAGTTCTCAAGCTCTGCAACCACTGTGTTCATCTCCTTCGGTGAGATCTTCACTGCTCCGTTGCTTTTGCTATTGTCGTCTGACTTCGGCGAACCCCACACCGGCCTCATATTCTCTGGTAAGCCACTGTTCCCCTTTATTTCGGTTCTTGGTTTACTTCGAACTCTGTTACATTCATACTCTGCTACTGTGACTTTATTCACGTTTTCATGATTACAAATCTGTGCATATGATTTCAATCATGTATTAGGGCATGTTTATCTTATGATTCTGCTTTTGCCCAATATGTTTCTTGAATAAACACACACTGATTACCCACTTTGTTCACTTTGCCACTATTTTTGGCCTCACACCTTTTATACACTCTGTCACAGTGTTCTTGGTAGTTCATCAGTATTCCTGATTCTGAATCATTGTTCTTTGTTTTCGTTTTCTGTGCTTTTTCCAGATTCTTGCCTTCAATCCTTGTTTGCCTAGACTTAGGTTTGAGATTTGTCGTAGAACTCACGAATCTTAGGGAAAATTGAAACAAACTTTACCTAGATCCTCAAAAAATTCTCAACCTAGCACTCGTCTAGGTTTTGCCGAGGTCCCTCAAACCTTCACAAAACATTTCATTCTGAAATTCAACACCTTCCCTTTAAGCCGATATCATGGGTATGTGGAGGTATAGGGTAGACACCCCAACTAAGTTAGAATATTTTAGGTAGGAGTTTTCTATCCCGACTGATGTCCATCTGAGGTTGGCTGGGGAGGATGACTCCATCATGCCTACAATTGACTCCATGCCTTTCCCAGTCGTAGCTTTCATAGAGTGTGGACTTAGGCTCCTACTTGACATCCTTTTCTGAGAAATCCTTCATTACTACAAATTGAACCCAATGCAGCTTGCCAACTCTTACCGAGTTATCAACGGCATAATAGCCTTAGCCAAAAAAGAGAACGCTAGGGTAACTTTAGCCGATATCCAATACTACTACACCATGTGTGGCCTCAAGTTAGAAAAAGGCTACATCTACTACCTTAAACTGAGGTCCACCGAATACAAACTTGTTGCCGACCTCCCAGACTCCAACAAGGGAGCCGGGGAAAATTACTTCATTGTCTCGGGCAACTGGGAGTTCGCTCTAGATGAGGACCTTCACCTCTACCCTCTTAGCCGAATAGTTTTTATAGAGGGTAATGGTAAGAGCCAAATGTTGCACTTGCTTGTTCTTCAAGTCGTTAATACTTTGTTCTTTCTATATGTTCTAACGTCTGTTTTTCTTGTAGCTCTTCCACAGCCGGCAAAAGACTTTCGTAAGTCCTTCTTCCTTAGCAAGGACTTAAAGAAGCTGTTGGATCTGCCAGTTCAAAGACGGAGAGCTCCTTTGTTGCTTAACTACATCCCGACTTACAAGTCGGTTCTTCCCGACATCTTGAAGAAGAAGAACAAGTCTCCTTCGTCCGCCACAACTCCACCAATAACTTCATCACCTCGGTCAGATCAGGGATCAACTTCCGATCTAGCTGAGCAACCATCAACCTCGGCTCCATATCTGATTCCTCCATCTTAACACAAGCGCTGACGCGGAACTGCAATCGCTGCCGAGATGGGTCGCAAGAAAGCAGTTGCAGAAGACCTTTTGGCCGACATCCCCGACACTGTCAACGCTCAACCAGCACAACCAAAGCCAAAGCCCAAAAGACTAAAGAAGGCCCAGCCTAAGCCAACGGTGACTGAGATTGATACTAAGGACACCTTGCCAATTTCAAAATTGGCCGAGAGCGAGAAGACCACTTCAGCTACCGAGAAGAGGCCCGCTGAGGCCGAACCATCCTAATCAACTCGGTCAAAGAGGCCGAGGTCTGAATCGGAAACAACCTCGGGCTTTATGAAATCTAATGCCCCCTGGGCTCCTCCCATTACAATTGAGAACAAGCCGGTTAAAGCTAGCGACAGCGTCGATGATATTGAAGTCAGCGTTGCCCTCTCTACCGCGCTGCTCCTCCCCCAAGATCTCAATCGCAATGCCGAGATGAGCGAGTATGAGAACTTTGCTCTGATGTTGCAACGCTCCGCCCAAGTAAGCTCCTAACACTTGGAACTTTTTCATTTTCTACTATTTCATACTTAGGGAGTTTTACTAACTTGTTTTTTCCATTTCTTCTAGGCGATCCAGCATGGCCACTCCTTTGCGATGCAGGCATTTGCCATCAAGAAGGAGTTGGAAAATAAAACCAAGGAGGCTGCAAGCTTGCAGAGGGCCCTTAACAAGGCTGAGGGCAAACTAAAGGGCTTGACAGATCAGGTTGAGGCAGCCAAGAAGGCCCAGGACGAGGCCGAAGAAAAGGCTAATGCTGCAGATGCCATTGCCAAGGTCCTTGCGGCCGAAAAAAAAGAGGCCGAGGCAAAGCTGGTTGAGGCCCAAAAAGAGCTTCAGGATGCCCTGGCCACAAAGGTGGCCGAGATCAAGGCCATCGATAAGAAGACGTACGCAGAGGGGGCGGCCGACGTCAAGGAAGACTACAGAAAATAAGTGAAGCATGCATGCAACAAGGGTTTCACCCTTGGTTGGACAGCTGCCCTCAAAAAGTTGGATGTCCCTAAGGACTCCCCCCTCAAGAATGTCGGCGACCTCCCCCTGCCATTCCCCCCTACTCCAAGCCAATCCAAAGACGATTCTGAGTCCGAGAAGGAAGCTTTGGTCAGGAAAAAGAAGGAAGTTGTTGTGGCCAAGTCCCCTACTCTGAATGAGCAAGTTGTGGACATTTCTCAGGATGAGGAGGGTGAGGTCTCCAAAGATGCCACTCCTGAGAAGACAACATCGAGCGCGCTTATCACCGAGCAAAGCATCGACCAGACTCTTCAAGAGATTGATGCTGAGCTCGTGGCTAAAAAGGCCGCCGAGATGTCTTCCCAACTGTCTTCTGAACCTCAGACCCAACCAGCCAAAGACGCCAAATAGTCTAGTTTGATGTTTTTCTCTTTTTTCTGTACCTTGTACATTCTTTCACTTTTGGAACAAATGTAAGCTTTAATTTGGCTGAGGTGCCACTTTTGTATTTCGCACAAGTAATCCTTTTGTAGGCCGATGTGCCCTTTCTTTTGAATGTGAATACAACTTCTTCTTTCGAATGCTTGCATGTTTGTCTTCTTTTTATTCTTGTATGACTCTTATACTTTGAATAATTTGTATGTCTTTAACGTACACCTAGATTGTGTAATCTCCTCGATGTGGAATACTTCGGCTGCACCCACTAACAGTTTGCCTCGGCTTTGACCTAACACTTGAAAATATTTATCATAATATTTTCACAAGTGTTACTCACAACTTGCCACTTTACTCAAGTCCTCTGTCTCCTATTACTTTAACTTTTCCTAAAATTTCGACAAGTGTTAAACCAACTTCTTTTAACATAACCTTGGCTTAACTTCAACTTGTAAATTTTTTTAAAAATTTCAACAAATGTTAAGGCAACTTTAGCTTGTAAATTCCAGGTCCCAAGCGATCATTCCAGCCCTCTGCCCCCTAGTGTCAACGTATGTTCCACTTGGGTTCTCATTAAGGATGGGGCTTTTGACCTTGTCGCCGAGGTCAGATTCAAACAAAGATTGGTCGAGGTTATCAACCTCGGCCTCTTTGTTAATCTTGACTGACATGCGTTTAGCTTCGATTTGTGTCTGATTCTGCCGACATGGCAAGTTCAAGTTGATTCAACTTAGTTCAACTCTATTATATGCAAGTAAGAACTCTGCCATATAATAAGTCTAAGTTATTCGTCATGTTTCAATCAGAAACATTGCAACTTAGTTCAACTCTATTATATGCAAGTAGGAACTCTGTCATATAATAAGTCTAAGTTATTCGTCATGTTTCAATCAGAAACATCGCCAACTTAGTTCAACTCTATTATATGCAAGTAGAAACTCTGCCATATAATAAGTTTAAGTTATTCGTCCTGTTCTAGTCAGAAACATCGTCAAGTATCTAGTTAGTCACGATACACAAGTTTAAAAATCAATCTAAAACTTTTATTAATACTTTGGCTAATAACAAAAGAAAACTTGAAAAATAATAAAATCTAGTGATAGAAAAACTTCAGATTGCAAGTATTCTAGGGTCTTGACAGCTCTTTGCCTTCACAATACTCAAGCCGATATGCCCCGTTGCCCAAGACCGAGATGATTCTATAGGGTCCTTCCTAATTCGGGCCAAGCTTGCCTTCTCTAGGATCCTTCTCGTTGTCGACGACCTTTCTCAAGACGAGGTCACCAACTTGGAACTCTCGTGGGTTGACCTTCTTATTATAAGCCCGCCATCGTTATTTAAAATCTTGCTAACAAATCTTCTTTAAGCATTATATAAATTGGACAAGCCTTCTCTTCAGTTCGAGATCGGACTGGAACGTGTGTTGGGTTCGTGGGGGCCCACCAAAGATCATGTTTTGATGATCCGAACCGTTCAATAGGTAAAACTTGTTGTGTACTTTATCCTTGTAAAAATTCATATTGATCAGATATCGATACCTGCTTGATCGGATCAGATTTTTATCGATGGTAAATAAATTTTCAAAATAAATTATTGACAAAAATCTGATTCGATCAAGTAACTATCGATATTCGATTAATATTATTTTTTACAGGGATAAATTACTCAACGAGATTTACATATTAAACAGTTTGGATAATCGAAATAGGACCCGTAATGAATCCCAAAAGCCTAACAATATCGTCTAATCTACAAAATGAAGTGAAAACGAGCCTGACCCATATAAAATTATAAGATCCATTGGACCTGATTGTTGAACGCATATCTCACACTTGTACTCTTGTCATATCCGTGTTGGACATGGGTACGTTCGGGAAAGTAGAAGAGTAAATGTAACACAAGATAACAATTTAGCAAACACATCCATACTCTTGTCATATTCGTGTTGGACATGGGTACGTTTGGGAAAGTAGAAGAGTAAATGTAACGCAAGATAACAATTTAGTAAACAGAACTGTTTATGAGTATCCCCTTTCATGCATTGAGACTGAACATCTTCTAGATTGAATTTTATGGTGACTTTGATAGGAGCTTCGACAAGAGCTTGGACTTGGGAATAGATCTCTCTGCTGCTTTGCTTGGGCATCGTTCTCACCATGATTGTTGCTAACATCTCAAACCAAAGTACTTTACCTCTGTCTTTTTATATTTTTTGTTGTTAGAAATTATTTGTCAGATAGGCATTCAAAGTATGAGATTCTAACTAAACAAAAAAAAAATTTCTCTCCATAGATGGTCAGAATATGTGGTTGATGAGAAGGTTAAGGTTCTTAATGTGGAGAAAGCCTCCTCTGAGTTTGAGGTTTGTAGTTACACTTTATCCCCTACTAAAGTAGTGATTACATGGTGTGTGAGTCGATTTCTAACCACACTGCCAAACTAGTACTCAGCTGGTGAACATTGGCAGAATAGATCGCGCTCGAATAACCTATAACAGAAAGAAGAGGTTCCGGCGGTGGTTCGTCCACCCGGGGGCACTCCGACGATCAAGTCAGTTATCTCTCAAAGATAGCAAAAGTGCTTAACTCACTATTCAGAATATAAAAAGCGTACCTTAGACCTATGAGGGTGCCTCCCTTTTATAGCCAACACAAACCTAGTCCCAATAGAAGCCTAGCTTCAATGGACTCTGGATTACTGCTAATCTTGGACTCCCAGCGGGATTGGAATAAACTCTCTAAGAGTCTTATTTTTATCCAAACTAAAGTCCTCTCCCAATCTAGGACTCTTTTCCCTATCCGCTTATCTCGGATTCTAGTATTCTCATAGATAACCTCGGCCTAGCCAAGATTACCTTGGCGTCATGACCAGGACACGTGGCACCTCGGCTGACACTTCAGTGACACCTCGGCCACGTGTTGTCATTCAAAAATTATGTCCCCACAACTGCCCCCTAGGTTTTATTACCTCGGCATCCTGAGGTGATGGAACCTATATCATTTCTTTAATTTAGCACATCGGGTAAGCTCGCCTTACCCTTCATTCCCGGGGTCATCACCCGTTGCCCTTATGTGACCAAGACCTATGATCTGTTTTCATCAATGCCTTAGGACAAATAACCAAGTTTGTTCAAATTATTTAGCCGAGATCATCCTCATAGCCGAGGTCTTTGCTTCATTAAACCAAGCACTTCAAGAGATTCGTCATGCGTATGAGCTGTCACTCACAGCAACCCAACCGTTTTAGCCACGCGCCTTTCCCTCACTGGATCGTACTTGATACATGCTTTTAAGTCGTCTTGTGTCTATGTGCACCGTCTGACAAGCATGTCGCCCTAGGCGCATTGATGGTATTTTGCCGCCATTCTCGGCATTTGATCAAAACCACTTCTCTCTCTCTCTGTCTTTTCACTTTTGCACCCTCAACTTCGTGCTAACTTTCTCTCTTCACCCTCCCAAATCCACCATTGTTTCAAGTTCTCAAGCTCTGCAACCACTGTGTTCATCTCCTTCGGTGAGATCTTCACTGCTCCGTTGCTTTTGCTATTGTCGTCTGACTTCGGCAAACCCCACACCGGCCTCACATTCTCTGGTAAGCCACTGTTCCCCTTTATTTCGGTTCTTGGTTTACTTCGAACTCTGTTACATTCATACTCTGCTACTGTGACTTTATTCACGTTTTCATGATTACAAATCTGTGCATATGATTTCAATCATGTATTAGGGCATGTTTATCTTATGATTCTGCTTTTGCCCAATATGTTTCTTGAATAAACACACACTGATTACCCACTTTGTTCACTTTGCCACTATTTTTGGCCTCACACCTTTTATACACTCTGTCACAGTGTTCTTGGTAGTTCATCAGTATTCCTGATTCTGAATCATTGTTCTTTGTTTTCGTTTTCTGTGCTTTTTCCAGATTCTTGCCTTCAATCCTTGTTTGCCTAGACTTAGGTTTGAGATTTGTCGTAGAACTCACGAATCTTAGGGAAAACTGAAACAAACTTTACCTAGATCCTCAAAAAATTCTCAACCTAGCACTCGTCTAGGTTTTGCCGAGGTCCCTCAAACCTTCACAAAACATTTCATTCTGAAATTCAACACCTTCCCTTTAAGCCGATATCATGGGTATGTGGAGGTATAGGGTAGACACCCCAACTAAGTTAGAATATTTTAGGTAGGAGTTTTCTATCCCGACTGATGTCCATCTGAGGTTGGCTGGGGAGGATGACTCCATCATGCCTACAATTGACTCCATGCCTTTCCCAGTCGTAGCTTTCATAGAGTGTGGACTTAGGCTCCTACTTGACATCCTTTTCTGAGAAATCCTTCATTACTACAAATTGAACCCAATGCAGCTTGCCAACTCTTACCGAGTTATCAACGGCATAATAGCCTTAGCCAAAAAAGACAACGCTAGGGTAACTTTAGCCGATATCCAATACTACTACACCATGTGTGGCCTCAAGTTAGAAAAAGGCTACATCTACTACCTTAAACTGAGGTCCACCGAATACAAACTTGTTGCCGACCTCCCAGACTCCAACAAGGGAGCTGGGGAAAATTACTTCATTGTCTCGGGCAACTGGGAGTTTGCTCTAGATGAGGACCTTCACCTCTACCCTCTTAGCCGAACAGTTTTTATAGAGGGTAATGGTAAGAGCCAAATGTTGCACTTACTTGTTCTTCAAGTCGTTAATACTTTGTTCTTTCTATATGTTCTAATGTCTGTTTTTCTTGTAGCTCTTTCACAGCCGGCAAAAGACTTTCGTAAGTCCTTCTTCCCTAGCAAGGACTTAAAGAAGCTGTTGGATCTGCTAGTTCAAAGACGGAGAGCTCCTTTGTTGCTTAACTACATCCCGACTTACAAGTCGGTTCTTCCCGACATCTTGAAGAAGAAGAACAAGTCTCCTTCGTCCGCCACAACTCCACCAATAACTTCATCACCTCAGCCAGATCAGGGATCAACTTCCG